CCAGTGGAATGGCAATTCCTCAAGCTTACGGGCTGCAGCCTCAACTTATAATTTATCACTGATTCCCTTATTCCCTTGCCTCGGCAGAAAACAGAACATAGCACCTACATCTCAAGGCCTGTGAGAGGTAATAAAGTATAATTATTTTGAATTTATGATTAAGCCATAAATTACATGTACTTTTTACTTCAGCTGGTCACTTAGAGGCTGGGGGAGGAAGGGAATGGGGTCAGAAGTCTTTGGCTTTGAATAAAATATCTAAATCTAGGCAGGGCTGAGGAACACCTGAAGGATTTACAAAGATACTACAGTCTCCAAGTTAAGTCCCCAGAGAGCCCCCAGTCAGGCTAAGTTAAATCCTAGAGACCTCTGTTCTTCCTGCCCACAAGGAGACAGCCTCCAACTAGAGTGCCCATGTTGCCTTGAAAAACAGAAGCAGGCGTCACACTTCAGGTTACACCACATCAAATGTTCACAGTGTTCTGGCCTTGCTGCTGCTAAGCCACAAGTATTTCATAGACGGGGAAATAAATCTAAAGAAAATGACCAGGTTTCATAAGTGAAGGCAGCCTCCAACAAAGTAATACTGGTTAGCAGAGTTCCCATTCAGCAGTGGCCAGATGCTAACTCATGTCAATTGGTGAGATTTACCGCTCTTGTAGTTACTCTGTGAGGTTATGGAAATATACGTGTAAAGCAATGAGCTGCAAAGCCCATGGAACTCTGGGCCTGAGGCAAGAGAAGCATCCACACTGAGCACTCTTGTATCACTACCTCGCCTCCTTGGTTCTCCAGTATGCCATGGCCCAGGTCCCAGTCTCTGCAGTAAGTCCTGTAGCCTGAAAGGCATAGACCCACACACTTCTAACTCCTGAGAAGGGCAGTGAGAACTAAGGCAAAGGGAAGCTCCCATTTTATATCAAGGTCCAAGATGTGCTGACACAGTGCAGCCATGCATGGTGCAGCTAGCCTGGAACCTGCTCAGTGGGTAGGAAGTCCTAAAGCCTTGCCTTAGGTCCCTCTACATGGTGGTGAGTGAAAGTGAAACCCAACAAAGTCAGGTATTTCAACTTCTACAGTCTCTTCCTGCTTCAGCCAAGAATTCTGTCTTTGAATTTAACGACTAGGGCTCTGAAGTAGCAGCTGGTTATAGTACTAACAACAGACATTCAAAGAGAGATTTGTCTCGACTCAGTAATAAGAGTAAAGAGACCAGAGAGATCAGCCATGAACGGTGACATTCAAGACATCACAGTGATACACTATGGGACCTGGGACCAGTGGAGGTTTGCCCAGTGTTTACTCACCTTTGTCCCCAAACATTCCATCTCCACACCCAGCTCCTGGTTAATGAACAGAGTTTAGTTGCTGTCCCTTGAACTGTATAATCTGCTCCACAAAAAACAAACCCAGTTTGTCTCCAAGCACTCCTAAGTCCCTAACTCCCTGGCTACAAGCAGTCTATGGAAAACAGCTGTGGCAAAGTAAATCATTCGACCCTGAGAAACACCAGAGTGAATGTTTTTTCCTTCTTCTTTTTCTTACTTTCTCTCTCTCTCTCTTTTTTTTCTTTCTCCTCTAAGTGTGTTTTGAAGTCCTGTTTGGAAAATTAGTGAAAATTGTAAATCTGTTTGCAAATCTGGTCTTGTCTAACTCTGAGATTAGGGCAAAGATTCCAATTTAAAAGTAAAACTGTGACAACCCCATGAAGCGTGTCCTCAGGCACTGCCAACAGGGCTTTCACTCACACCCACGGCAGTGGATTTATTGCCAGCACCCGACACGTTCCCCATCAGACACCCCTGGAGTATTCACTTGAGACAGTGGGGTTTGGGCTGCACTTCCTCTGCAGACCAATATATTATTATAAATTGAGCTAAACTGTTTCCTTTCTGTAAGCGCTGTAAAATCCAGACTTTAGTTCTCAGAAGAGGGCCCAAAGCCATTTTAAACGCTACGTGAAAAGACAAAACTATACAACAGTTGCTTCTATTTTTTTTTTTCAAATTATGAGTTTTTAAAATAGGAGATGGAAAAAATTCATTTTAAACTAAAATATGATATCTTCATAAAAATACATTCTAAATGCAGGCTTTGAGGTGCACTTGTTATGCCTAAAACAGTATAGTAGAAACCAACATTGTCACCTACATCTGAAGGCTGGAGGTAGAAAGAACTAGAATCTATTGTAGTTTACAATGTTAGAGAGTTGGTGAACATTTGGACATATACATTCCTTGTAATGACTACATTAAGAGGATCATGTAATCAATTAAATGTTTTGAAAATGTAATTGATTAAATGTTTTCACTACTAAACCAGTTATTAAATTGAAAAGAAAAAACACTTTAAAATAACAAACAAACAAACAAAAAACAGAAATCTATAATCTTCCCTTCCAGAACGACGATGCTTAACGGAGAGAAGTGGAGTGAAAGCCCAGACCTGGGGGAAGTGCGGGTGTTGTGTGTAGGGTGAGGGGTCATGGGGGCTGCCAGGGGAAGAGAAAGGCCTGATGTGGGAATGATGAGTCTATCTGAGTAGACCATGTCAGGCTCTAACTCCTCACTCTTCTTAGCTGTGTACCACGGACAAGTCTATCAGTCTAACCATCAGTCATTTATAAGAATAGCTAATATTTGCTTCTCAGGGTTACAAGCAAAACAACAGAATGCCTCACTTGTCATTAATTCATAATAAGTATGTTTGATATTAACATTACTACCATTCCAGATATGCATATATAGGGACAGATGGAGCAGGAATATAATAAATCACATATGAAACTTGTTTTTATATTCTTTCCTTTTATATTCCACATTCCTTTTATATTCTACAGTTTCTTTTCTCTAGGATGAACATATGCTGATTTTTTTCTTTGTTAATTATGTATACACATGTGTGTCTTGCAGAGATATATGCATGTGAGTGCAGGTACAACAGAGACAAGAAGAGGGCGTCAGACACCCTGGATTTACATGGGCACTAAGAATTGAACTGTTCTCTGCAAAAGGAGTGCACATTCTTTACCACTGAGCTATCTCTCTAGCCTCCATATTCTGCTTTTTTTAACCAGAGAAATGGAGAGGATGTTATTAAATGAACAGATGATAGCAGAACTTTTACAGTGCAAACCCACTGGTTTCATGCACAGATAGACAGGAAACTATTTGAAAAGGCTCCATTCTGGCTCTTATCGCCTCTACATATGCAAATTATTAATAAAAACTACAATTACCAACAAAGTATCCCAAAAGACGTCTTTTATTTAGATTTAAGCCAAACATTCAAATTTTGGGAGAACATAAAAACTTAAGTTATAATCTTTTTATACAAATGGCATTCAATGATAGGGAAGAGACTTCAGAGTAAAAGCATGGATCCTGAAGTCAAATGGGGGATGAGGTGAGAGATGACCTTAATGCTGCCAACTTCCAGAGTTTCGGCATCCTGAGATCCAGCTGACATGATCACTAATGTGGGGAAAGCATTACATGTGAAGTCTGCGGCTGCTATAGCCTCTGTTTTGCCACGTATGAATGGAGTGATGGGCAAATCTGAAGCTCTGACATCTCCCTCAGAAGGCTGTTTAGAGTCAGAGATTTGTATATTGTTGAAGCAAGACACTGAACTTGAGTTGCAAAAGGTTACAGCACTAAGTCGCACAGTTATTTTCAATCCACATGCAAACACCAAGGAAAAAACCCTCAGAGAAGCCAACTGCAGAATTAATACTCTGCTCCCTCAATGTTAATGTTATTAGTGTGTTCATCTGTCTATGTCTGACTGTCTGTCTGTCTGTCTAACCAACCCTCACTTTCTCTAATGTGAATAATGGAAGTCCTAAGAGGCAAGGAGCTAGATTTACTGTGCCCCAGTGTCTCCTCAGAGCCTTACTCCATAGCTGCAACACAGAACCTCCACAAATAAGAAAGGTAACAGGAAAATAATCCTATCCAAAAACTGATCTCAAGCCCTGATTCTTCCTAGCTAAAAGCCAATAGATCATTAGACGGGAAATAAGACAAACCTGGGGGCACTCAGATGGCACACAGATAAACTGTGAGAAGCTGTATGTTTATGTGTACATGTGTGCATGCTCTTTGTGGAGGTGCACCTGTGTATGCCAGTAGACATGTGTGTGTATGCATGGAAGCTGGAAGTCAGCCTTGGTACTCTTCTCTGGTGTGTTTTTTGAGATGTAATCTTTCATTGGTTTGAGCTGGATAATCAGCAAGCCCCAGGGATGCTCCTGACTCCTCTAGTACAGGGATTTAAGGGCACATCATCACACCTTGGATTACTTCTGTGGATCAAGCCCAGGTCCTCATCCTTGCATTGGTGAGCCATCTCCCCAGCCCATTAGAAGCTTCACCATTAAAAATCAGAAGAAGCATACCTTTGCACATTTTGCAATGCAAAACAAGTTGAGAATAAGTATCACCAAAAATTCTAAAAACAAAGCAGCAAGAATCAAAGCACCTCAAACTCCACAGCTTCATTTACTGTAATCCCATAAATAATACTTTGCAAAGAATTAAAACACAAGCAGAGAGAAAGATCCTGTGGCCAAGCCTGGGAAGAAACTGGCTTTTTTGCTCTTGCAGAGGACCTGAGCTCAGTTCCCAGCACCTATATTAATTACATGGTGGCGCACAAATGTCTACAATTCCAGTTTTAGGGGGTCCAACCTCTTCTTGCCTCTATGCACACCACATAAGCATGTGGCACACAAACATACATGCAGACAAAGCCACTTACACACACAAAATAAATTAAATTTAAAATATATATATATTATATGTATATATATACACACACATATATATATGCATACATATAAGAAAAGAATAAATTAATGAGTTACATGTTCTCAAAAAATCATTATGAATACAAAGTATTCAAAAAGTTTACTTCAAAAGACAGACCCCAAACATGCATGCCCCTACATCTCTAAGCTCAGACAAGTAAAACAGCAGCCCAGAGTCTCTGAACATTACCTAGCATGAAATAGCAGTCTCCCTGGTGAAGAGGTATTGCCAAGCCTGGCGTCTCGATATCCCATGAGATCTTGAAACCAACATGCCAAGTGTCGGGATCTCTGCCCTCAAAGCTGGACTCGTCCTCGCTTTCGTCCTCAGAGCCTGTGGAGACGGGAAGAGCTCAGCAAAGGCACATTTCATCCACATTCCTGAGATTTCAGCTATTACTTTAGGAATTACTGGCCTCTTAATAAAATACGGCTGTCAGGTCAAGTACATCTTTTTGTGTCATAACTTCTAAGAAGACATATGAGAATATTTTAAGCATGGATCTATCTCCCCCCCCACACACAAAAGAAACCCTTAAATATAATAATAAGGAAATAACCAGAGATTAAGAGAATAAAGGATTATTTTGCTCAGTTCAAAGCAAATAAGTTAGAATAGGTCAATTAAGTCCATTTCAACAAGATACTAATCACTACAACAATACAGAGAAAAGGGAAAGCCTAAAAAAAAAAATGCAGGATGGAGAGAAAAATACCAAAGTTAATCTCTCAAGGTAGCAGGCTCAAAGACTTTCAAAAAATTCCCTACATTTTAGTGGGCCTCTGTACTGCTTAAGAACATAGGAAAGGCCATTCCCAGATTCATTCTATTAAAATAACACATCAAAGTACAAAAAAAAAAAAAAAAAAAAAAAAAAAACATGCTTGGACAAAAACCAATCTCACATCTACTAATCAATGTTAAATTGCTAACTTAACAACACAGACTCAAGGTCCAACATCATATTAAAGGAACATTCTATGGCCTGATTTTAGGAATGTAAGGGTAGCTCTACAAAACAGCCAATATTCAAAAGCTAAAGGTTTAAAATTCATCATACTTGAAAAGAGGGACTTTAGTGACACAAAACAAAAACTAAACAAATAAGTAGATTATCCTTCAATGGAACCTAAATATAATGGGACTAAAAGCTACTTCCTCAATATAATATAGTACAGACCTGCCTCGGTCTCAAAGTCAACAGTAGAGCTGTACCCAAATCTAAGAATTAGCGAAGGGTGTTGTGGTGGTGAGAAAGAAAAATATTTGATACTTGGCCCCCAGTTGGTGGAGGAGTAGAAGGTGTGAACTTGGTGGTGGTGTATCACTGGGTATCTCTCTCTCTTTCCTCTCCCTCTCTCTCTCTCCCTCCTCCCCCCTCATCTGTGCATCAGATATGAGCTTTCAGCTACTGCTCCAGTACTTATGCCTGCCAACCTGCTGCCACGCTTCCTACTGTGACAATCGTGGACTCTAACCCTCTACAACCAAGGGTCACCAAATTAAATACTTTCTTTTGTAAGTTACCTGGGTCACTGTCTCTCTTAATGCAAATAGAAAAGTAAGCAATACAGAGGCATAGCAACACAAGCATCTATCATTATTCTGATGGGAACCAACACAAGTGTTGAGTCTAGAAAGTATGTTCTTCATACACTCGTAAAGTTTATTTTATAAATCAGCTGCAACAGATTAATAAAAACAAAATAGAGCACCTACAAATAAGATGGGCTAATAAAAGCTATCCAAATATACTTTGTTTCTTTTTTAAAAAATCTATTATTTTATGTACAAAAGTGTTTTGCCTGCAGGTATGTCTGTATGAGAGCATTGGATCCCCTGGAACAGGGGTTACAGACAGCTGTGAGCTGCCATGTGGGTGCTAGGAATTGAACCCAGATTCTCTGTGAAGAGCAGCCAGTGTGCTCTTAATCCCTGAGCCATCTCTCCAGCCCCTATTCTCTGTTTCTATGGCTACCTCTCTCTATACAGAATAATTTACTGGACTTTGACCTTTTCATTGAATGTAAACAGTTCATGGTTACTAGTTGGGATCTACAGACCACCAGCATTAAATGCTTGAGATTTGGGGCTACTGTCAAGAATAATAAAGTTTAGCTGAACATCAGCACTGAAATATAGCCACAGCAGACCCAACAACTACAAGTTACCAAAACTCTGATGGCATTAATGTGTAAGGCTTGGAGATGCTGGCTGGAGTGAGGATGTCTCATCCTGGGCAGAACATAAAGACAGCTTTCACCCTGCTGCTCAGAAGGAGGCATTCACCTTCAAAGTCACTGTTTCTTTCTAACTTTTCACTTAATATTCATAGACAGAACTCCAGAAATTCAAACTACAGATGATGAGAAACTACTGTATAAAGAGAAGTATATAAAAAAAAAAAAAAAAAAAAAAAAAAGAAAGAAAGAAAGAAAGAAAGAAAAGCCAAGGGATACTTGTGTTTCCTACACATCAACAGACCAATGGGCCAATGTTACCAAGGCTGAAGATAAAAAAGGAAAAAAAAAGCAAGGGAATAAAAGTGATGATCCCAGACATACACAGAGAAGCTCATACAGATAGTAGAAAGACTTTCAACCTAGTCACATAAAAGAATGCAAACTACACTTAGAAGGACTATTCTACCACCTGTCAAATCAGAAGAGCTTCCTTTACTGTTGTTTTCATTTTGTTTTGAGACAAGGTTTCTCTGTGTAGCCTTAGCTGTCCTGGAATTGACTCTGTAGACCTGGCTGGCCTTGAATGCAGAGATCTGCCTGCCTCTGCCTCCCAAGAGCTGTGATGAAAAGTATGAGCCACCAGGCTTATGTCTTCACCTTAAATGATCCAGTGTTGGTAAAAATGTGGCAACCTGGCTCCCCCATAGTATCTGTGGAGGACAATCTGACATACATATTAAAACTGAATATATGAAGTATGAATGCAAACTACTGTTCCTACTTGCAGAGGGTGACAATGACTAACTACTGAGCAGGCATTGTAGCTTGTAGTACTGTTTGCTACAGTACCACTAAAAGGCTTGAAGAAATTATAAAATGCCCAGACAATATAATATCATGTGACCATCACCAATACTATGACTCAATAGTAACATGGAACCACTTTATATACTTTCAAGAGAAAATGAATTGGCTAAAATTTGTACAAAGACGCAGTGCCTAAGATATTTCTGGAAAAATAATCAAGATTTTATAGGTCCAGAGTGGAAGAGACACATAAAGAAGCAGAAGGTGCATACTACCCCTCCCGTTCATTAAGTCTTGCCTTTCTGGGGATGGCCCTACACATGAACTTTTCAAGTTCATTTAGGAAACATTATTGAGGACTTGCTATATCCTTAGAAATGTGTAAGGTACTTGTGGTATCTCTGCCTGAAATAATGAACCCAGCACATCTAACTTTCTTCAGTTCTCTAAATCTGACTCTAAAGACAGACTATCACTGCATGAGCAGGCTTGCAGCCCTTTTTGGCTTTGTTCTTCCTTCAAATTAATGTTCCCTGTAGCCCAGGCTTGCTTCAAAGTCTCAGCAATACTCCTGCCTCTGTCTCTCTGTTGTGAATACAGGTACCACCATTTCCAGAAACAGTACATGTTTTTGTGAGTACCTTTTAGTTAAGAGGAACTTTTAATTAATTTCTTTAAGAATACCACCATGTAAAAACAAGTGTAGACCCATTTCCTAGATTAATCAAAAAGCCATTTTGAAACAGAAATGCTGATTTAAAAGAAAAACGCTTTAGTATCAGGAGCATAGTTAACTTTCTAGTTTAGTTGTTGCTCTTGAACATTTCTAGAGGATATACAGGACATGGTCATCACAGGCAACATGATGGCTATGGAGAATACCAGCACAGGCCACTGCTATTGTGTTGGATGGATGCATCCTGAAGACACTTCTTTTGATGCATAATGCATAGCTACACTTGAAAACACTGGAATGTGCTACAGGGGAACTAGTGAACCTGAATGAACCGAAAGGCACTCAGCTCTGCCTGCACTGCATTGCTTTAACAAATCTGAATCAGTTAGCAAATGACAAACGTACTGTTAGGGACTGGAGAGATGGCTCAGTGGTCAAGAGCTACTCTTCCAAAGGGGCTTGATTCCTAGCACACATATGGCAGCTCACAATTGTCTGTAACTGTTTCAGGTACACTAGGCAAGCACATACATACATACAAGCAGGCAAAACATCCCCACACATAAAATAAAATAAATAACCCTAAAAAAACCTCTGTATTATAATCCAGATTCAACTATCCTTAAATTATAAGAGTATGCATCCCTGAGTCAATTACACATGGCTACAGGTAAAACATAGCCAGCCCTCTTACACAAGGCATGACTTCTCTGCTGTCCAGAGCCCCCAGGCAGTCACTGCATTTCACTCATTTGTGAGATCTTTCTGGATCCTAGAGCAAAGTCTGTGATCCATGCTTTACAGCTAGAGTACAGAGTGAGCCTGACTGTAAATCAGCCTCATGACCTGCTTCCAACTACAGTTTAACCAGACCCTACTCATGCTCAGTCATTACAGTATTTCATAGTAAGACGTCCAGGGAACACTAAGACCACAAGATCCACCCACCCCAGAATAGTTAGGATTTGACCATTTACAGAAAATACTTGCTGATCTTGTCTATGGACTACTGATACTGGTGATTTGGCAAAGAAGTCAATGGTAAATACTGACCAAGCCGAGTCAAAACAAAATCATAATGACATCATATGACTCACACCTGAGAGTAGAACGTGACTAACAACATCCAACATGAAGTAATTAAAGCTAGATCAGTTGATCTCCAGCTCTTTGGGAGAAGATAATGTTGTGAGAAAGCATGTGCTTACATCTTTGCTATCCCAAGATGCTTTGTCCAGGTGGCCTTAATGGTAACAGACAAGGTAAGCAGCCATTAACATGCATGTTGCAGCATTTAGGGACTGGGTGCGCTGCCCAGGGTACACATCCTAGGATGTGGCTGAACATCTACAGGCTGACCAAACACTTGCCTACCTTCCCTTGTCTTGGCACTATCCTTAATCTGGAACCAGTAAGTCCCCGAACCACAACCAGACAGCAAGGGCAATCAGTGCTTCCTGACCACCCTTTGTTACACAGCCCAGCCCAGCACCTTTGAAATGAGCTCATTAGGATGATGTTTGGTGAGCTATGCAAGGAAGAGAGAAGCTTAAGTGTGATAATTTTTTTTTTTTTTTTTTTTTTTTTTTTTTTTATTGCTTCTGTGTAGTATTGCTCACTTTTGCAGGGAAACTGACTTGTAATCATCTACAGCAACCGCCACTGAT